CAAATAAAATTGAGGTGACAGGAAATGAATTTCCACTGCTTACATCACTGAAGAACAATATTTCAAATGTCACAACATGCTCTCAGCAGTTCTTAGTGGAGTTTCAGTTGGTCTAATACCAAAACATTTCCAATAAAGGAGTTTTCCTTTAAGTTTTTGATGAACACGTTGCTCTCCTACACACCTGTCTCATTAAATTTCCTATTTTGAACTTCTCTACAATAAAAGTGTTGCAGTTCTGAAACATCCTCACAGTAACAAAGTAAAAACTGTCCCTCTGAAGGGGCGCAGATAGCGTAGCGGTTATGTAGCGTGCTACATGTATGGAGGCTATAGTCCTCATCATAGTGGCTGTGGGTTTGAATCTGACCTCCACCCTTTGCTGCATGTCATCCCCCACTCTGTCCTCCCAACATTTCCCGTCTCTCTTCAGCTGTCCTATCTAAAAAACGCAAAAACTGTCCCTCTGAAGAACATTTGTACGGGCTGTTTGTGTGCAAAGCAAACTGATATTTAGAGACAATCATTCTAACTTCAAATCAAAGAACAATAACATGAAAATTAGGAACATTAACATAATACGTCATTATTTGAAGATGTTAGGAGCTAAAATGAAAATGCAACAGAGAAGTACAGAGTAAGAATTGTGAGCAATAAAGGTTGGCTGGTGGATTTTCTCCCAGTTGATTAAAGGAGATAATTGTTTTTAGTTCTCTTAAGATGAAAATAATGATTTGATCAGATAATGTTCATTGGCTGAACCAAGTACTCGCTGGGTCATAAAGTCTGCTCTCATGCACAACACATCATGGCAACTGAAGGAAAAAAACCACAAGGGGGCGCTCCGATCACACAGTCTTTAAACATAAAGATGAACACACCTGTGTGTCTGCTTATTAAGTTTTATTTGTCCACTCAGTGCTGAAGTCTATACATGGAAAGTCTTGAATTCTGCATCTAGCCTTTCTTGCACTACATTTCTATATAAAATTGTTGTATGGTTCTTATGCTGTTGTATTCTTGTGTGTTGTTCTTTGTGTTACCAGTGTGAGTGGTGTGCGTGGGGGACAGGGGGGATCCCCAGTTTCAGGCCCTCTTGTTTTCAGGGTCAAGCTGAAAGGTTTGGGAACCCCTGGTCTACCCAAGATTACAAGATCACTAGGCCCTGTTCACACTTGACTTCTTTTTTCAACTGCCGGCGCCTTTTTTACATAGAAGCCTATGGAAAAAGGAAAAAGGATGACGCCTTTTTAAAGAAGCGGACGCCTCTTCAAAAAGAGCTGCGCCCGACGCATTTTTCAGTTGAGTTGTTTCAACTTTTCAGAGAAGTGCTGGGTGACCTCAAGCGCCTTTCTGACGGTGCTTTGATTGTGAGCCAAACAAATAAAAAATGATGCACAGTTATAATTAAATCAGCACAAATGTTACTGCTGAGACTGTGAAAGATAATGAATAAAGATGTTTCAGCGTAAAGTGTAACAGCATCCAAACCAGGGGTGTCAAACGTACGGCCCGCGGGCCGGATCAGGCCCGCGAACGGGTTTAATCCGGCCCGCGAGATGATTTTGTGAAGTACAGTATTGTAAAAAAAAACAAAAAACAGACAGGATTTCTGATCTTTCGGCAGATTTGGACAGCCAATTGAAGCACAAAGTAAAATCATTTATTGCGTTTTCAGTTGCAATTGATGAAAGCACGGACATTACAGATGTTGCGCAACTGGCCATATTCATTCGCGGAGTTGATGACACTTTGACCATCACAGAGGAGTTTGTGGAGTTGGTGCCAATGATGGATACCACAACAGCGGCTGATATTTTCACCGCCCTCATCGGAGCATTGGACAGGGTCGGAGTGGACTGATCCCACGCTGTCAGCCTGGCTACAGATGGTGCGCCGTCAATGATTGGGAAAAAAGCGGGTGTTGTGACAACATTCAAAGAGAAAGTGCAGACTGCAAATGGAGGACGTGATTTTTGGACTTTTCACTGTATTTTGCATCAGGAGGCATTGTGTTGCAAGTCATTAAAGATGGATAACGTCATGAAGGTGGTCGTCCAAACTGTTAATTTCATCCGATCGAGAGGCCTGAATCACCGTCAGTTTGACAGCCTTCTCAGAGAGAACGACCACAACCATGGCCTGCCATACCACACCGAGGTAAGATGGTTAAGCCGAGGTGCTGTGCTGAGGCGTTTCTTTGATTTACGAGGGGGAAATTGAAGAGTTCATGGAAAAAAAGGGAAAACCAGTGGTAGAATTTCAGTCCACAGAATGGATGCAGGACCTTGCCTTTATGGTGGATATCACACAGCACGCGAATAACTTAAACAAAATGATGCAAGGGCGCAACAGAGTTGTCACACAGTATTATGACAGTCTATGTGTGTTCAAGTTGAAGCTGTCATTGTGGGGAGATACAACTCGCGGGTGGTGATGCTTCTCACTTTCCTTGTCTGAAAGATGTATGCGCGACCCAACATGCTGCACACATGAAGCGGTTCAAAGACAAAATAACAGGACTATTGCGGGAGTTTGAACAACGCTTTCAGATTTTTGGTGAACTGGAAAAAGACTTCAAAGTTTTTTGCTCACCATTCACCGCGAATGCCGCAGATCTGCCCGTCAACATTCAACTTGAAATAATAGACTTGCAGTGTGATTCAGATTTGAAGGGCAAATTTGCCGCAGCTGGCTTGGACACATTTTATCAGAATCTCTTGCCAGGTTACCCCAACTTGACAGCCCTTGCTGCAAAGGTGTTGTGCATGTTTGGAACCACATATCTTTGTGAGCAAGTGTTCTCTGTAATGAGCATCAATAAAACAAAGCTGCGCTCAAAGCTCACGCACAAGCACTTGATTGAAATTCTGAAATTGGCTGCCACTCAGGATGTGACGCCTGATATTGATGCACTTGTGAAAGCTAAAAGATGCCAGGTTTCAGGAGTAAAATAAACAGTGGGTAACCCCACTTAAAAATGCTGCATGAGACACTGCACCCTGATATAGATGTGAACATGAATGTCTTCTGTGGAGATTTAATGAAAGTGAATCGTGTGGGATTTACTATAATAATGTCAGTCACTTCAGTTCATAAGTTTGGTTGATTGACATTTTTCATGCATTGCACAGCTTTTATTTTTCTATCAATAAATAGTGTAGCCTACAAGGCAAGGAGTAACTCAACCTTATTGAATAGTTTCTACCTCAGTTTGTATGGTTTGGTTAGCCCAGGATTAATATGTGGAAATGACAAAATTAAGTATTTGATACCTAGAAGAGATGTTTGTATTTTGTTCAATCTCAGATAGGCTGAGACTCAAAGTTGTGTGCCTTTGTAGATACACTGAGACGAAGTTTAAGTTCCAATCGCTGAGGTATTGTTCTTGAAATTGCACACTTTGCACAATTTTCAACTTATTTGAAGTGTTTTTGCAATAGGATTATTTGTGATGTATACATTTTCTGAATGTGCTTGTACTATTTTGGACCAAATTAAAACAAAGAAAACAATCTGAAATTGTCGTTATTTTTAATTATGCCATATTTTTACCGGTCTGGCCCACTTGGGAATAGATTATCCTCCATGTGGCCCCTGAGCTAAAATGAGTTTGACACCCCTGATCCAAACAGTGTGACAAGTGCTGCTGCCAATTGTCTCTCCTCAGTATTTTATGTGTGTTAGGAATAAACACACACACTCCTCTTAGATGCAATCGTTTACACACAGAGTGGGAGGAGCTAGGAGGTGTTAGGAGGGTAGCAGGGTAAATGTTCTTGATTACCTCTCGGAGTGACGTCACTTTTCACACTGAAAGAAGCTTGAACTCACAGGTAAGTGCATCAAAATTCCTCCATGAACTTTAACATCTCTGCTGCCTGCCTGGACTGTTTCTAATAATTATGAGAGTGAGCAATAAGTTCTTAAAGGGGGAAATGTTTCATCTGAGTTTTTATATTTCTAATACAAACAGCAGTTAACATTTTATGGGTCTATTTAATTTAAACCCTGTTTTAATGATAGTTCTTAACATTCATTACCTTTTGTTATTCAATTATACACTGTACATGAAGGCATCAGCACACCTTTACTTAACTGTTATAACACTTAAATCAGCTTGAAGACATTTTAATGAAGATTTAGTTAAAATCTCAAGATAAATTTAAAAAACAAACAATAAAAATTGAGGCTGCCTCAGTGATTTCTTTTAAATACTGATCATATCGAGTACAGAAGATGCAGTCAAAATGCAACTCTTATAAGGTGTTGATAAAACATTTTGATATGGAGGTTGATATTTTAATTTTATGATTTGTCATTTGAGGAAGCAATATTTCCTAATAAAGATTTACAAAATGTGGAAGGCTGTGATCAGTTTCATAACAGATAGATGTTCACATCAGAGTTTGTGATTTTCTGCATACACAGATTTGTTTTTTGTAGTCGATAACTTGAACTTTCTTGTGATTATTTGAATGGTAGTGAGGATGATTTTAACCAGTTGGTAAACAGAGAGTGGACGTATGTGTGGGTGGAGTCTGAGTCCTTGTAACGTATTGACCTGGAGTAAACTCAAACTCACGGGGAAAAAACCCCTTTCCTGTTTACTGATGAGAAACACAACTCATTTGATTGACTAATCTTGTTTATTTTTTTCTAGTTATAGGAAATAGTATTTGAAGATATGATTTTATACTTTTCATACTATATTAATGTGTTTTTGAGAATGGTGAATGTTATAACGTTGATTTTATTTCCATACAGGCAGAAATCGTCTAACTGTCCTCAGGTTTGATGTAATGCCTATTCATTGCATATTTGTTTGAAATGTTTAATGTCTGAGATAATTCTACATACAAATATTGACATGGTGATGTTCATATGATCAAGTTCTTATTTAATGAATCAAATTAATGAATAAACTTCGGAGGCAGGTTAGATATTAGGCCCCGCCCCCTCGTAAAGTGAATAAAATAGCCTGTCGCCACAAACTTCTCTTAAGTTTTGGTCCTCTTACTCTCTTGTTTTATTTTTCGCTTCTCTTGTTGCTTCTAGTGCACAACTGTCCTCTTGTTTTTGACTTAGTCGTTTTTGTTTCGGACCACTTTGCTTTCTTCAAGTTTTGCTGCCGCAAAACTCTTTCAATTTAAACTCGGAATCTCAGGACCTGCAGACCTCGTTAATTAATCACCACTGTTTTTCCGGGGCACGCATCCTCAGGTTTTTCCTACGACCTAAGATACGCGCCGCTTTTTTTCCTTTTTTTTGAAGTTTTGATCATTCGTCTTCCAGAACATTATTTTCACTATTCTCACCCTGACCAGAAGTGACCATCTAAATCAAGTGAAGATCAACGATCGTTCAATCCTGACGAACGTTAAAAAGACTCTTTGAGCCGCTGAGAAACGGACCCACGGACGACTGTTGGACCGCTGTGCTTTTTTTCACTCACTCTCATCATCAACTCCGACCAGACCTGCTACGGCGGTCATCGTGGACCACCGGCATCCTTGATCCGAAAGAACTCGACGGGGAGCCTTGGTATCATTCGGCGGAGTTCAATTGAACACCACGTAAGAAGCGTTACGATTATGAGAGGAGTGTGATGAGTCAAGCTTGTAGTATCCGAATCAAAGGCTCAAATCAACTTTCCGTCAGTGCTGTAAACTGTACGCTCAAGCTAATATGCTGGCATGCACATTTATAATATGTCCAAACACAATGTTAAACAGTTTTTTAAAGCTTACTGTTCTCCACTGTACACTGCTCACATGTGGTGCACTTACAGCAAAACTAAAATGAGAAAGTTTGCATATAATGATGCATTTAGAATATTTCTCAAATTACTAAGATGGACTAGTTTAAGTCAAATGTTTGTTTCTAATAATGTCTCCACATTTCATGCTGTGTTGAGAAATGTTATGAATACATTTATGTGTCTATGAATTGATTCAGAAAATGTAAAATCATAATGTCTATCACTCAGCCCACACTAAGTGACACAAGTTGTTTGTCCTTTTTCTGGAAACACTGGTGCAAATGTCTCTGTATTTTAATTACTGACAATCTGTGAACTGTCGTGATTATATCCCTTTGTTGATTTCCTGTATTTATATTTATTTTCCTACTATAATGATTTTGACCTATGGGTCTGAAATGTTATTTTGAACATCACTAGATCAAGGACACTTTGGGTTTGTTTGTATAGACTTTATGCTTAAAAAACTCAATTATTTATGTCTATAATGTTTGATGAAATTATCATCTTGTACCGGTTTTCTGTCATGAACTCTGTCATATTTATTGAAACCCATAAGTCAAACCCAATCATTACAAGCATGTTTATAGTCCATGGTGAAGACCAAGTGACAACCTCCGGTCTTAAAAAAATGCCAAAGTACAAGTTACCATCACAATGAACACCAGCTACGAGAGTGGAAATGATGTATAAGGAGAGCGCCGCAGTATTGAGCAGAACGTCACAGTTTCTGTTTGTGGACCGCTCTCTCCACAGAGTCACATGTTACCATCACTTCATTCAGAACCGGGATTTGAAGACGGCTGTCCTACTGACACGCAGTACTGAGTAGAGCCACACAGCTGGACACAAAGCGGGCTACTGTTAATTACTGTAAATGCATATCCATCGTGTTTGGGGCTGTGGTGTGTTTGTGATCCATGGAACTCAACACCTAGTCCAAACAGGAACTTTAAACTATTGATGATGTGTCAGTACTGAAATGTTGCAAACCATAAACGTAACTGTCTTGACTTTTCTGTACATTTCAGGGTGCAGGAATGGCTTCCCGAGTGGACGATGTCATGCGTCTGTGCTGTGAACTATTAGGACATAAGGAGTTCAAGGTGAAGGCAAAAAACTCCTTCAAATGTGCAGGGGCTCTAGGAGCAGCTGTGCTTTTATGCGGGCTTGTGGCTGGACGTGTGGGGGTCGTTGGTAAGAAAAAAACAACTCATTGGTTCTGAAGTTTCACGAAACTTTCTGATGAACCTCCAATACAGGCACCACCAATGCTTCCTTTTAATGGTGGCCGTAATGTTGGGACCACACGGTTCCAGCATTACACTGATTTGACATATATTGAAGGAGGTATAGTTCAAGAGGTGTAAAATCTTCAAATATAAATTGAGTGTTATTACGAATTTTCATGAATTCATACAGTTTGGTAACTTTGTGAATGTACCATTTAAATCTGTCTTGAGAGTAACTCTTCTCCTAGGTTGAGTAGCTGTCACCATATATGTAAAACATCTTGCACAGCATCAGAGTTATATTTGGATTGGAGACAAGTGTATGTAACAAGCTGAAAAGGAAACAAGGTTTGCTGAGAATGAAATGTCTGACATTTACGAGTCAAGGTGATGTCTTCTTTCTGACCTTATAGAGATGTACCAATATGGGCATGAATTTGAAGGCTGTACCTTCCAGTAGAATATAAGCAAGTTTATTCACATAGAAACTTTGTCAGTACTGTGTCAACGATTTGTGTTCTTTTGTTATTGTATGACCTCGGCTGATTAAACTGTAAAATAATCCACAGTCTGTTTCACGATTTCATCATTGGATTTATACAGCAGCAACAACCCCCATCTATCATTTAGCTTCTGTCAACAGCAAGGAGAGGTGGAGGAGCAGCTTATCTTTGACCCAGACACGTTTTAGAGGGTACAATTAATATCCAGGTCCAGAGAAGCTGCTAATGGTAAATGGACTTGAACGTGTAGAGCGCTTTTCTTGTCTCTCGACTTCTCATTCATACGCCGCTGACAAAGCAGCTGGAGCAACTTGGGGTTGTGGCTGTGTAGTGTTATTAATTTATTTAGATATTAATATCCTAATTATTCCTCGGGGCACCACTTCCTGTTAAGGGAAGAAAATAAACTTTAACTTTATTAGTTAATTAATCAATCAATCTCATATCAGAATGTCACTAAGTTCTCTCGGATCACTTCAATCATTAAATAAACACAGACAAAGTTTTAAATAATTACGTATGAATTTATTACAGGAATTGTGAACAATAATGCAGATTAATAAAGTAAATGTCAAATATTATAATTTGTATGACTTGAATAACAAAGTTATTGAAATGATATCGTTTGATTCTAATTTACCTATTATGGTCATCATGGTGAAAGTAACAAATGAATAATAAAGTTTGCAAAAATTAACTCACTTGCAATAAGACTTGCTGGACAATTCTAGTTATCTCTAGTCAGATAAAAATTAGTTGTTTACAAAAGAGGATGAATCCAAAAACACACCGGTTGATTGGAGACTGTAAATTGCCCGAGGAGTGAGTGTGAGTGGAGTTTCTGTTTGTCAGCTCTGTGACTGACTGGTTTCTCCTTCACTCGACTCCTTTTAGTCCACTACTCAGAAGTGTTTTCAGTTTTATCGGACGCTTCATTTGAAGAACCCTGAACCTGTAACTGACCTCCTCCTCCTCCTCCTCCTCCTCCTCCTCCTCCTCCTCTGACTCTTCCAGGTGGACTAGTCGGCGGTCTGTTGGGCATCTGGCGCACCAGGAGGAAGTTCAAACCTCTGCCTCAGATCCTGATGGAGCTGACTCCAGCCCAGCAGCAGAAGCTCTATAACGACGTCTTGGCCGTCATAGGAAACCTGCACTGGACTGATGCAGCTCATCTCATCGCCCTGGTGAAGGGCGATGCAACGCTCCAGCAGCAGGTCACCGCTGCGTTACTAAACTACGTCAGCAAGGAGCTCAGGGCGGAGGTGCGCAATCGTTAATGAGGCATCAATGCTCATGTACCTTTAAAGGCAGAATGTGCAACATTTTACACATAAATATTGCAGAAATCCAGTAAATCCTCTGAAAATAACTCTGAGTCATGACCGTCTGCTATGAGTGTGACACCCGAGTCCCGCTGACGTATCTACATCGTCTACAGCGTGTTTACATGGACGGGACGGCCTTGCATATAAAAGCTGTTTAAGTGAATCACAGTGAATCACTCAAATGAGGCTTCTCACAGAGGTGCAGGCCCAAGTCCATTGTTTGACTGTCCTAAGCCTGCGTGGCCCAACACACAACTGGAGAAGGTTTGGAGGTGTGTCACTGGAGGAGAGCGGAGGTTTCATAATAGCGGGAGTGTCACCAAACAGCAGTTTTTTGTTTTGGTTTCAGGCTGGTGTTTAAGGGCGACATTTACTTGAATTAAAAAGTTGTGCATTCTGCCTTTAAGCCAAACAGAAGAACAGTACTTAAAACAAATATAATTATTATATACTCAATCAAAAGAAAAATGTAAATCATGAATGTTTATCTTTGGTGGCTGAGCCAATCAGAGCAGAGAGCCTTCAGAGCGTCTGATGTCATAACAAGAAGGGAATCATCACTCAATCATTTACATCCTCTCTGCTTTTTTAAAACAAGTTTTTAAAAAAGTGCCTGGGAAATCATTTATTCTTTATTATGATATAATCTCTTTTTCTCACGCTTGGAATCAGGGTGTTTTTTCTGTACCTCCATTTTATATCTTCAGCCTAAATAATTAAATCAAGTGTTGAAGCTATTGTGCTTTTGAGTCATTATTTGCTCGTGTAAAGTTTTCAAGGATTGTAAAGTAAGTGTGGCAGCATTTTGGAGCTTCAAAGCATACACAGATTTTCAAATGGACTTTTTTTTAGGGAGCTTTTCACAATTTCAATTTGAGAAAGAGGAAAGTGAACAGAGTCAGAAATAAGGGAGAGACGATTGGTGAACGACGTGGAAAAGGAGCCACAGGCCGGATCTGAACCCGGGCCGTCTGTCTGGAGGACCGCAGCCTCTGTACATGGGGGGGCGCTTGTGTTGCGTTCAAGACCACACTAACTGAGACCAAGACATACCCGAGACCAGAGTGCTCCGAGACAAGACCAAGACGTAAAGGGAGCGAGGCTGGGTCAATACCAAGACCATAAATATCAATGAAAAATCATCTTGTGTTTCGGGCATGTCTCTCATTTAGACCGTAACAAATGGGATAGTTTTGGACGTTACTGGGGTAAAATTACAAATGAATTGAAGTCATTTGTTCTTTTAGAAATAGGTGTTCTCCTTCTAATCACAATGATGACATGGAAAAATAACCTTAGTGATGGTCATGACAGGGCTTGATTTAAAGTCCGGAGGCCGCCCAGTCTGAGATCGAGTCAAGACCAATTAAATATGCTTTAGATTCAGAGACGAGTCCTTCAAAAAGTGAAACCAAGACTGATTTCCAGTACTACAACACTCAAGGGCACGCACCAACCACTAGGCCACTGGCTCCCCACACATGTACTTCTGATGAACTTCCAGACTTAAACAGGTTTGGTCTTGTTCATAAGAATAACAAACCCGTCTTGAATCTCCTGCTCTCAGTTTGAGTGTTTGAAGAGAAACTTCAGATTTATGAGACAGAAAGTAACACTTGTGTCTCTTTAGTCCAAAGCAGGAAGCATACATTTAAAACCTAAACCTCAAAAGTACAAACCAATCAACAAATGGATGAAACAAGCAATCAAAACCTGTGTGGAGCTTTACATTAATAAAACAGAAATTCACAGTGTCTTTGTCCCCTCATGCTGTTTTTTTAGGATTTTGATGACCTGTATCGCCCAGAGAGGTAGGACACGAACCAGCAGAGGGCAGATCCTGAGATGCCAAGTTCAGAGAGTGTGGATAGGAGGATTTGATGGTTGACTGTGTCAAAGGCAGCAGACAGGTTTAGCAGTAATAGAACTGAGGACTGACATGCAGCTCTGGCAGCTCGTAGCGATTCTGCTACTGACAGTAGTGCAGTTTCAGTAGAGTGGCCCTGCTTAAAGCCTGACTGATTTGGGTCAAACAGATCGTTTCTGGACAGGAACTCAGAGACTTGCTTGAAAGCTGTGCACTCAAATATTTTTGACAGAAAGGGCAGAAGAATGCGGTGGGGAACACACCCGTTGTCAGAGAGGAGTTGATGATATGCTTAAGTGCAGCATTAAGCGGAGAGGAAATGGTCTGCAGGAGGCTTGAGGTATTGGGTCAAGAGGACAGGTGGTGGGCCAAGAGTCTAGCACAAGCTTAGAGACTTCATCCTCAGTCAGAGAGGAGAATGAGTCGAGTGAGGCACTTTTGGTTGGTGCCTTTGGGCTGAGTTGGTCAGGCTCAGAAAACTGGTTACTGATGGTTTCAACCTTTTCAGTAAAATGCGAGGCAAACACGTCTGGTGTGAACAGATCGGAGGGTGGAGGAGGAGGTGGGTGAAGCAGTGAGTTAAAAGCAGAAAACATCTGTGGCATTGCATATCTTGTTCTAATAATATGTTGTCTTGGCCGTTTTCAGGCTGGAGGAGAATGAGACAAGTCTTTGCTTCTAGTCATTGAGGTCAGCGGACTGTTTGGATTTTTGCCATTTTCTCTCTGCTGACCTCAGCCCTGCTCTTTGCTCTCATGACTTCCGTGAGCCATGGGCTAGGGTGGGTTTTGCGAGCAGGTTTGGACACCAGAGGGCAGAGCTTGTTCAGAAATGAGGCTAGTGTGGAGCAGAGTGTGTCTGTAGCCTCGTCTGTAGAGAGTGCGGTAAAGACCTTTTGGGCAGGCATGGCAGCCATTACCTCGTTAGACAGCTGAGCTGGCTTGAGCTATCGCATGTTTTGGTGGTATGACACCATTTGTGGGTGTGCCTGAAGGAGTTCCGGCAAGGAGATTGTGAATTGAATAAAGAAGTGGTCTGATAGATGTAGAGGGGTGACAGTCAGGTTTGCTGTCGAACAGTTCCAAGTCAGGATTAAATCAAGAGTGTTGCCACCTTTGTGGGTCCGGATTATCGTGATCCCAGACATGCGTGCATACAGCCTGGATTACAGGGGAAAATGGAAGAAAGTATTAAATTGTTCAAATAACATTTTTACACAGTAGATGCTATTTTGAGAATAATAAATGTGATACTTTACATAAAACATTGTGAAGTATACATACATATTTCAAAAATAACTTCTGTATCAAATATTTAATATTTTATTCAAATTAACAGTGAGGATATTTCAGTTTGTGGATTTTGGCGCCCCCTGTGGCAGATTAGTGTGAAGGCCCCTTTAAAATGGTACTGGTTGTTCCTATCCAGTTTCTTTGGGGGAAAGGATGGGGGGTAAGGGGGGAAAAAAAGGGGTATTACCAAATCTGGATCATTCTTTCTGAATCAAAACTTTTGAACAACCGGGTACTGGGCCTGAAAAGTAAAAAGGTATCGACAGAGCCTTTTGAAGGACGCACTCCACTGGTCTTAAAAAGATGTAAATCCCTTAAATTTTTAATTAAAAACATCACTAGTAGACTTATCTGGTCTAGATTCATGTCTAATTTTAGAATATAGACCAAACCTTTCAACATAATGAAACAATGTCTTTTTGATTTGTACTTCTTAATGAAGTTATTCAGAGAACAGTTGGATGTCTCGGTGAATTACTTATTGGCTTTCTTGTTGAGAGTTAAACCAGAGGATGAATATCCATTACTTATTCATAAACTAACGGTAGATATCTTCTTCCTCATTCCCTGCACCTACGTGATGTACATATAACTAGCTCCTTCTTCTCGTGGTTTATAACAGGAAAGAGAGCAGTATCAAAATGATGAGTGTAAGACTTTTCTCTTTAGTTTTGATGTTGCACAGTAAAACTACAACGTGATGTTTTTACACTAGTGATGGTTTTCACCCCCGTACACAGCCGGTCTCAATACAAAAACAAAGAAGCCATCAATAATTCTGATAAACATACACTTTATAAAACAGAAAACACAACATGTAATAAAAACAGACACAGTTTGGCAGTGTTGTGAATAAAAGCATTGTGGGGAGGGTAGTGTCGTAGTGCGGCAGTGCTTACTTAAAGACGATTACTCTCGACTGTGTGTAGGACCTTTGTGTTTCTGACAGAGCGATAAAGTGTCACAGGCACTATTGTGTTTGCTAATAAGATGGAAAAAAAGAAGTCAATAAAGAAAACGAGTTGTAAAGATTTTTGAACAAGACAGCTCTCAAATGAAGACTGTACACAAAAAGTGGACAAAGCCAGGTAACCTCGAGTTTTGACCGTCTTTGGATGAAAAGGTTTGACAAACTACAACTGTATCCTGACTCTCTGAGGGTAAAAACAAATGATAAAAATATTTTTAGGATTTATACTTCCTGCCTTGCAAAACATTTCAATGACTAGTTTGAGCTTTGTTTTTTCGCTACATGATCTTCTCAAGTCTGGGAGGCCTGTGAGACCGACACTCAATCCTTCATTTTTAATATGCCTCGTACCAGCAGAAGAAGCCAGACTCTAAAGTAGACGGAGCTCCCCCAACCTTCAGCGAGGTGATCTGGCACTAATACCACCAGACGTCCCTGACCAACCAGCGCCGTCCTCATTCATGCACGGCCTGATCCGACCTCCACCTCCCCGGAAAGGAAGTGTGGACAACAGGAACGAGAGGAATACAAAGGAGAAATCCTTCCTGCATATGATCCCATATGCTTTTTTGTAAAGCGTCTCCAGATAGCGTCGCTCTCTTTATTAACCACCATTGAACAGGTGAAGCTGAGGGCGAGATATTTTTATATATTTTTTTAGTAGTTGTGACGTCTGGTGAAGATTCATTCTCAGCCTTACATTAACCTGGAAGTCTTCTCGAAATGAACCCCAGTCATAACCTCGGCCCCCACTTTGGGAATAACTGGCTGTTTATTTAAAACCGGCCAAAATGCAGCATGCAAAAGAATAAGAGACCCGCAGAACACCAAAAGTACCAGGATGTCGTTCTGTTTTGGTTCAGTAAGCATAAGACCAGTCTACCTCGCATACCGTTTCCCACAATTCAAAGCGCCAGGTCAGAGCTTTTAAAGACATTCTGCCAAACGATCACCAACGGGCAGTCATACTACAGTCGAACATATCATCAATCGATCTTTATTTGTATAGCGCCAATTCATGACAAATGTTATCTCAAGACTAGTGCAGTATGCAGAACATACTGCGTTCCTTAGTAGTGTGTAGTAAAGTGTGTAGTAGGCACTTTGGAAAACAGCTGCTGCCCCAGAGCATTCCCTTTGTAGACTTTAAAAATCAAATCATGCTGTATTGAAGAAGACTTGAGGAGAGCTAAGGCTGCACTTCACACTGAGTTTGAGCTTTTACCCTCAGGTCGTGGTTTTAGAGTTCCTGTGAGGAGGACTCAAAGTCTCCAGGTCTCATTTGTCCCTGTTGTAATAGATTTATTAAATAGCAACTAGCCCTTCGGTTGCGCTTTGTGCACATTTGCACACCTCCTCTTTACACTTTACTAACTTGGTAGAAATTCCCATTTTGGTCTGAGCTCTTGACTGATTTAAGTTTGATGTTTTATATTGTTTTTATATTTTGTTGTGTTTTCAGATTGTTCTAATTGAGATTTAGCGGTGATGTTGTCCTTGTGTTTTTTTGTCTTGGTTGTGCTCCTGCTGCAAATCAAGTTTCCTCTTGTGGGACAATAAAGAATCTGAATCTACTTAGTCATCTGTTTCATTACAAAAGGACTTTCTTTTCACACCCCCTGCTGGTCATTAGAAAGAATTCAGCTTGTGGCATCTTGAATTTGCTTCGCGTTAGAAACCAAGAGGCTTTAAACACTTTTAATATACAGTCTTCGTCTGTAACTCACCCAACAGAGGCACATTTGCAGCATGAAAAGTCTATTTTTTTTGCTAAATGAAATACCACAGTACAAAGCTGGGCTCTTCCTCCTGAGATCACAAGAGTCTGAAGTTGTTGAAATAAGTAAAAAAAAAAAAAATTAATGTGACAATCAAAAAGTTCTTACTAAATCTAATGATCTACTTTTGTGATGAATTTTATTACCTAAAGTGCGAAATGAACTAGAGTTCAGGAAAGCTGAAGTTCCCAGTTCTGTGCAAGATTTAGTGAAACACTACAAGAAGAAAAGTTTGATAGAAAAGCATCAGAACAACTCGATCATCTGTAGAGATCATTGCTTAGCTTACAATCCTATATCAAGAATTTCAACTGACTCAATCTCATTAAAGCCTCCTGAAGGTTTCATCAAAAGGTTTGCATAAATACCGAGGCAGAGGAAACGGCTCACAGCTGTTGAGAACAGGAGCAGCGTTCAGTGCCTCCTCCACTGTCTGCAGAGGACAAGGCAGGTTTAAAGCAGTAACATACGAGGAGAGCTCTTTTACATGTCGAGTAAGACAAATAAAAAAAACAATTTACACTGTACAAAATCATTTCAATCGACAGTGAGGCTAGGTGACTAAAGGTGTATAAAATGTTGAGTGTGGAGTCTAAAACTGTTCAGAGAGGAGATCACAGAGTCTCTGAGACACCGACTCCCTGCTGGTCCGAAGCGTCAGACGGTACATCTGAAAGGAAAACACACAATTACACGGGCACTATGATTAAAGACTGGGATTTATATATGTGTGTGTGTGTGTGTGTGTGTGTGTCTTTACCTCTGCCTGTGGGTTGGGCTCCAGTCGGAGAAGGCAGCCCACCTGAGTGCTTTTAGTGTGAATGACTCCAGCTCCAACAAAGTTTGTAGGGTTGGGATCCACACCCTCCAGCAGAGCTGCACCAAAACCTATGATCTGCAGAAACAACACATAGAGGAGACATTACAAACATTTAGGATTATAAAGACACACAAAATAAGCACATTCATGTGTAAAAAAAAACTCTGTATAAGTGTTTTGTATGAATTAAACCAGAAACATATTTTGTGTTTTGACAAACCTACTGCAGAGAATCACATCGATGATTTTAACTTACTACTATATTCATTCAGGAGAGTTTTTTCTCTCTAAGTAGCTCATAGACTGTATAGAACATGGACGTAGTTTCACCCAACGGTTACTGAAGGTGAATTTTGAAAATGTTGTCTCAACCTAACTTTTGGTCAACCTAGAAAAAAAGCCAAAGAGGTGGAGCTGGGGCGAGTCTTAAGCCTCCTAACAAACAACTACAACGCTCACGTTTGCACTCTGATCAGCCACAGCCCAATTATTTAGAACCTCATCTTTCATAAAACAAAAACGGATAGGATTTATAATATTTAAGTAAAGGATACAAGTTATTTCTGTGACACTTCTGAAACACGTTGAAGCTCCTGCATTAACTTGATGCAACCGTGCCTTTCTTTTTACCTTGGCCTTGGTGACCTCTGTGTCCATGGGGTGTTGGGCTTTGAAGATTTTCTGGACCTCTTGCTGAGGACTGAGGGCACAGAGGATGACACAGGATATCATGTTACAATCAAAGAATATCAAACTGAAATCTGCATAACAAAAAAAAAAAAAATTAACTGCCATCAACTGGCACGCCTGGAAAACTAAGATATCCATATTGAATAGCACAATCCGATGCAACTGAATGAGACGAATACAGGTGTGAAATATACTCCTGATTGGGACAGATACAGGTGTGAAACATACTCCTGATTGGGACAGATACAGGTGTGAAACATACTCCTGATTGGGACAGATACAGGTGTGAAACATACTCCTGACTGGGACAGATACAGGTGTGAATATACTCCTGATTGGGACAGATACAGGTGTGAAATATACTCCTGATTGGGACAGATACAGGTGTGAATATACTCCTGATTGGACAGATACAGGTGTGAAACATACTCCTGATTGGACAGATACAGGTGTGAAATAGACTCCTGATTGGGACAGATACAGGTGTGAATATACTCCTGATTGGGACAGATACAGGTGTGAATATACTCCTGATTGGGACAGATACAGGTGTGAATATACTCCCGATTGGGACAGATACAGGTGTGAATATACTCCGATTGGGACAGATACAGGTGTGAATATACTCCTGATTGGGACAGATACAGGTGTGAATATACTCCCGATTGGGACAGATACAGGTGTGAAACATACTCCTGATTGGGACAGATACAGGTGTGAAATATACTCCTGATTGGGACAGATACAGGTGTGAATATACTCCTGATTGGGACAGATACAGGTGTGAATATACTCCTGATTGGGACAAATACAGGTGTGAATATACTCCTGATTGGGACAAATACAGGTGTGAATATACTCCTGATTGGGACAGATACAGGTGTGAATATACTCCTGATTGGGACAATACAGGTGTGAATATACTCCTGATTGGGACAGCGGTGCAGAGAGAGACTTACGCTCCAAGCTGTTTCCAGCGTTGGAAGAAGTCCTGGGATGTCATCTCAGTGGGCTGAAAGAATTTGTTCAGCATCACCGGAAGTTTCACTCCGATGTTCTGAAGAGTTCCACCATATCTGTTCACATACACAGAGTCAAAAAAAATTAGCATACATACAAAGCTATAGGCATGAAAAGCTACGTACACGTTCAGACACCAACCTGAATGAGATGTCGAGTACCGGTGCATCTGTGAAATCTGACAGACACTCGATGTTGATGATCTGCTGGACCTGAGCCCCTCCTTCTATAACAGGGTCTACTGTCTTAGAGTGCACATTCAGCTGTGGAGGCTACTGTCAAGGATGATGGCGTTCATAGCACACATATAAAGCAAGCGTTTCAGTGTTCACATGCAGTCATAAGTGCAGGTTGAAGAGCCAATACTCTAGTGCTTGTTGAAATAGTTAACTATTAGATTTGGAAAAGGCTGACATGAAAGTTATCTCGGTTACAAGGTGGGTGCCCCCCGAGCAGAAAGCACAAACATGGTGTGTGACGCAGGACGTAATGGTCTGTCGTTTTGGTGAAATTAAGCATGTTTTTAAGGAGTCCTGTAACAAGCAGCTACAAAGCGGTGGAAAGGATATGAGCTGTGAGCGTGTCCTGACTGGTCACAGAGGAGGAGAAGCAGACGAACTGGGTGGATGTCTTGTTG